TGGGAGTACTAATTTCATTATTTAATTAAGATATATGATATTTTGATCAAGCGATCACATGCATCCTTCTGTTTTCACATGGCTTCAACTTGTGAAGTTTATCAGCTATTGCTGGGTAACTCCAAATCCGGTTTCCTTTGATATCAAACACGGGCCAATATTTGTTCGAACACCTACTTCTTCTTTCTATACAGACTGTTTCAAACCCAGCAACCCATTTTAATACTGAAAGTACAGTATACTTCTCAAATGGGGATACAGTCTTGGACAGATTTTTAATCTACTCCATTGTTTATGATTCACATTGGTTCGAATACTTTGCCATCCATCAGTCTGAACAGAAAGCATTTTTATTGTTCTTTAGGCTAATTCTGTGAGTCGGTGTCCAGTTCTTCTAGCTGACCGATTGAGTAATCCATTGTCCCCGTTGTACACTTTTCTGTTTCGATGATTGCCCATTACAGTTGGCCAGCTTTAACTCACATAGGACTTAGTGAACCAGCCCCCAACCCCCTCTATCTGTTACAAAGATGAACATTTTATTTCCGGTTTGGTCATGTTAACCCGCATTTCCGGACTCATCACTAGAACAACGCGAGTAACTCACACTGCGGGGTAAAAAAGGTCACCGATTGGTTTATTTCTCATTGATGTATGGCCTAGTCACTGCATCAAGTTCGGTAAGATATGTCAAACAATTTGTCTTGACAATATTTTAAACAAGTGTTAGTTTTTTGTTGTTGTAGCCCCGGTAGTGGTATTAATTAAATTACTCATTTGTACGCGGAACTTGACTTCCATATTGCCAACACTTCATCACCAATGCAGCTTTACAGATTTCACCTGAATCGGTGATAAAAACTTTCTAATCCAATTGTCAGGTGTCCGCGAACAAGTAAATATCAGATAATTGGCCTTGTTTGATAATTAGTTCAATCGATTATTAAATACATCGTCTATATAGATTTGAAACTTAACACTGTTTTTTCCCAATCGAAAACACAATGTTTTCTGCCTTATCTGCATGATCCTCGACAAAATACAAAATCTTTGGACGTATACATCTTTATGGAAATTGACTAAGATAAAGTAAGATGTGTATTTCTTCTCTCCAATTTTCATCCCCCCCCCCTGCTCCACAACAGTCCGGTTCAGGCAGCCATTCCATGACCTGGACAATCGCATTTGTAACACTTTTGATTGTTTTTCTCGCCTTCCTCATATTCATCGTCGTCTACTTTTTCGTGCTCAAACGAAGAAAGAAATTGCTGGATTGTAAGAGTAATTTGTAAGTCCTCAACACTCCCATCAAGCGTGTGTAGATATTGAAAAAAGATGGAACCCGTGAAGTTAATGGTATGATTTGGGAGAAAGAAAATTGCTTCCTCCTTTTGAAACGAGTCATGTTAAACGATAATCGATTTGGTGTCAGGTTTATTCCGAAGTGCATGGATCAGTACCAGACATGGGACTAAGTTTCCAATGCATCCCGTAACTTGCGTACAACCCAGTAACCGCTGGATTAAATCTGAAGAATTGCGGTCAATGGATATCAGTCTGCAGGATTGAGGGCAGAGGGCAGGGTGCCCGTGTAAGTGTATGTGGAATAAAGTTATGCAGTACAGCAAAAGCATCGGTACGAGCAATCGTTAGTTTTTGTTGGATCACGAAGGCGACGAGAACCAACGAGCACAGTAACCGGCGAACGATTAGGGAGCAACGGGAGTAAATGTGCACAAGGGTGCAAGTCTGTGCAAAACAAAGCCATCATATTGAAGATTTTTACGTGAAAATACGGGTAGTTTGTGCAGGAAAGACGATGTTTAAAACATTTCAAAAATTCTTTGAACTAACAGTTACAATTATGAAAAAATAGTTGACTTACCTCTAATAAATTTGCGCAGTTGCGTATCATCACGTGATCGATTTCAATAAATTGCCCGTATAAATACGTTCACGTTATCGATCATCGTATTTGCCACTTATTCTTATCATTCTTATTCAACTAGATGTATGCGAGTGTGGTAAACAGACTGACTACGAGGCAACCATTTCGTCGATTTGTCGATCAATAAAATACTGAGGATCAGCTGCAAACATTTTCTACTTTCTGAACAAATGTAGTTCGTACCCTTTGACGTATTCTAGAATCTTCGACTCGGTGATATTGTTTTTAATGGATAATTTATTGTCCTTTCGGTTAACTAATATCGCGGACTAAGCAGTTGTCCTCTATGAAAGTACGGTTAACATGAATAAAGTATATAGATATGCCGGTTGAAATTTGAGATTCTAAAGCACCGAGTACGGAACTCTATCTCAATTGTCATCTAGTACACAAGGAGCTAGTATTTCTCTTCAAAACTCGCTAAAGGCTGTGAACTAATCGATACTCTACTAACGATTATCTTCATAACTTATCTAAACCGGTATCAGTTTATTACTTTTCTATTCGTTCCACTCGAACTCAAGAACAGTCAGTGTTTTTGGTCTTCACATAACAACCCATCTGCTACCTATAAATCTAGGTTGTCCATCAAAGTCACTTTTCCCAAATGGAGTAAACAGCTTTAATGAGTGAAGTTAAGATTTCCTGCTTAAGAACGGTAGGAAGAAATCGTTCGATGCAAAGGCTGTGGATTGTTCAAGTAGCCAATCTCTCGAGATTTGTTTCTTTTCGGCCGAGACCGGAAGACTTGTCTAAAAGTGCATGCACCTCGAATAATATTCTGGGGGTTCTGCCTTTAAATCCAATCTATGAGCATGAAAATGATTGAGTTTAAGAGGAATACAGACAGCTTCCTTCATTGTGCACAATAATTCGTTTTGCACTTTGGGTTGCTGATTTTGGTTACCGCTCTGTGGTCACCGATTTTTTTCCAATCGATCTCCTAAGTCAAGTCTTGTAAGTTGATTTGCCGCCTTTCCCATCGAGCCCCCCTTCTTTAGTGGTATAGGAAAGACCAAATCAACCAATCGAGTTTGTGATCGAATATCCTATAGTCTTGCACCAAAAGTGACGTATGATTAAAGTTTTCTACCTCTCCTAGATGAGCTAGTTACCTAAAGCTCATCAACCGGGTCAATGCGTTGGTGAATGAACGGTCGCTCATCCGTTCACTTCAGCATTATTTTCGTTAAATTTAACTTGAGGAACGTGCTTGAAGGTGAATCATTGTTTTGCGTGAGTACAATTCATGCTTCTGCAAATCTTGTACAGATCATTCTTGGAAGGAAGGTTGCCCTCATTGTTATGAGGGCATAACGGGGTAAGGTGATGAAAAGCGGACAATGCTCACGAAAAATGGTGTTTTGTGCCTGATTTACACCGGTCTCCTCATTTTTAGTGAACTTTCCAAGCCCTCCGAGCATCATGTCACGTGCAAAGAATTGAATATTCAACCGACAATAATGATCATGATCAAATTAGTGCTTTGTGGTTCTATATGCACCAGCACTCATTGTTATATGCTTTGCTAAACCTGCACGAATTTGCTCAATCGCTGATTCTGAACATCTAATCAGATTTCGGATTGTCTTCAAAATTACTCCACGCATGAATGATGATTTTACATAATTCATGGAGAGTGTGGGATGCCTTCCCGTGTGCCTCATCGGTAGACCCCAGACATTTTCGTGGGCTAGTTAGCCCACGATCTGGTGGGGAAATCGGACAAGGGGCGTTGTGGTTAGGAGCAGTTTGAGGAACCGCGGTTGCCCACTTGAGCAAATGGTCAACCTCCATAGATTACATAGGGTGGGGCGTATGTTGCGCATTCTACCAGATATATTGCCATGGTGCGCGTTGTTTGCTGAGGCAGGTGATGGGTGGAAAATATAAAGGNAGGATGAGCAAACTAAGTTTTTGCATGAAGGTATAAAAACCCTGACCAGGAAACTTTCTCAGATAGTTTGCGTTAGGCATCTGGATGGGGATATCGGGATCATGATAATCGATGGTTAGAAACACAGTGGTATAGAGCTGGGTGTCGCAAACAGTGGCACTGGTGCATCCTTGTGTACGTCATCTTCATGAATTCTCTATTTTCATTCTAAAACTGACTTGAACGGTCCAATCCTCACTTTACTCCTTTACCCTAATGGGCAATCATGAAACAGCAACAAAAACCGGCACGTGAATGTGCATGGTTTATGGCTGTAAAAACTGAATTGAACTAAGTGTTCGTTAACAGAAGACTATTGTCAATTTGACTTTGTTTCATTGATGCAGTTATCACATCCTCGATTTATTGCATACAATTCCTTATCGTAGGATTAATATGTACAAGCTTCTGATTAACGACGGATCGAAAAGAGAACCGGTGCCCACATTTGCACGGTTAATCGTTGTTCAGTCTTAACCGAAGTTGATCATATCCAGTGGATTAATTTCAGGTGTTTTTGTCGTTTGCATATATTTCTCCACTAATTCTTCTTTATTGTATCCTCAGCTTTTTTACCGCCTCATCGTACTTCGTCCGTGCATTCATAAATCTATTCAACAGACCTCAAGTTCGATATGAAAGGCCAATTGCATCGCCCGTTTTGCCACTTATTCCGTCCACAAAAAGCACCGAAACTAACCAACTGTCGTCAAAACACGGAACATTTGCCAGTTCAACCTATAGACCAGTCACGATGATTCATTCACCGAATCTAAGAGGATCGGTGTTGGAAGAAGATGTGACAGACTACGAAGAATTGCCCTATCACCCATGCTACGCACCGTCTGACGATCGCACTTCCATGTATGATTTGTTGGATGACGATACCAAACACGGGTGTACAGCACCAATAGAATCACCAAAAGAGAGTAAACCAAATTCTCACAGTCTGTTCGACCCCATTACTCCTGATAACAAGAAGACCCAAACTCGAAACACGGGATCTCACACGTTTCCAAACATGCTCTATTTACAACCTCGAATGCTACTAAAACCGGACGGGAGTGAAGAGACTGAACAGTCTGACGAAACTAAAGTATTCAGTGAACCATGGCCAAAGACCAATAATGTGACCAATCCCGATTCGTAACAGGGCACGTGGTGAATGGATGAGATTACCATTGAATTATTTAGTCTGATGATGTAAAAGCGCTCACTTACTTGGTTCGGCTCAATTTCCCTTCTCAAAAATGAGAACAATTGTTTAAATACTTTACTGGCTTTTTCCTAGCGCTCCTCTCCCTCTCTCACACACTTCATTCAATGATCACCGATTGCTTTTTTATCCTCAGTTTTCTCACTTTGATGCAATCAGGTTTCAGTGATTTTCACCCAAGATGAAAGAGATATAATTATCCAGCACAGTATCACTTCTTGGTATTTTGACTTTCATGTGATCGATCGATACAATCCTCAATGGGTGTGAATTATGCTGATCACGGTTATTTTTCTGTTAGATCGAAATGAATTATTTGCAAATACACGTTTTTAGAACAACAAAGATTGACAATACTAATTCTTTCTTCTGACGGGTATCACTGGGTGTAATTTCACCGGAGTATTATAGGTTCTGTCTTTCAGTTTGGGTTTTATTTATGATGAAGCAACCAGTACAGAATACGGTAACACAAAAAAAGTAAACGAAGGACCGCAAATGTAGCTAACATGGAAATGGGGGCTGTCGTGGAATCGGTTGGGAAGGAAGAATAGTTGCCTGCACAACTGTTATTGTTCACAACGAGAGCCAAATCATCGAATACAATGAAATCATGGAATAGGGTTTTTCCGAGGCTCTAATTGCGAAACATGATATGGTCCAGTTAACATTTCTTTCAAACTTTCTAGAATCTGTTCACCAATCGTTGATCACACACAGTATGAAAGATTCATTCGCATATGTTCATTCTTATCAGGAGTCAAAACCCGTCGTTTTCGCTTGATTTCCGACCTTTGTTTACAAAGGTAGTACTGTTAAAAATGCCATATTTTAATTGGAAACAATATCCAGATCAAAATACGGGTTGTAAAACTAAAAGAACTGATACGGAGATGCACTTGTAAAGTATGGCTTTGTACAGTCAATAGTACTACTGGCAGAAAGATGATGTGGCTTTGAGATCGCAACTAGGGTATCTCCTGGCAGATGCATTTTGGGCCAAGCCTAAAAGTAAACACAATTAATGGTTTCAATTTATGAGCTGTATATAGACGGCACAAATACTACTTGTGAATACATAACAGGCATTATTGAGCTCCTTCAAGTATTCAACAACGCTCATCCAGTTGTATGAATCAAGTTGAATATAGAAAAAGATAATCACCCTACTTTCCTGGACATTTTGGTTTGCCGAGCAGAGGGTGGTCATATCGATACGGGGGTATCTGGGGAGGATAGAACACACATTTTCTTAGATTAAAACGAAATTTAAGAACATTGTCTATCAAGAGGCACTGCCAACTGTTTCCCCGCAGAGCATTTGAAAACCGAATCGAAGACCAAGTAACTCCATTTTCCCTAGCTTAGGGACATTGTTTCATTAGCCTCAATCATTTGTTTCACATCAGTTTAGGTGCACGTCATACCAGACGCACCTCGAGGTGTCTGTCCAAGAGAATGCCTGAACAATTTCTAGTTCCTGCTAGAAAAGGAACGGGGAGCACCCTGAACAGTTTTAGTTTTTACAGAGGACAACCCTGACGAAAACCACTTTTGGCAGTGAACTCGCGCCAAAATATGCCGTATGCTCTGACTCGGCTTCGATCATTAGTATACAGATTGCGAAATTGAAATAAACCTCTCATAGATAGCGCCAGAGTTTAGCGCGGTCAGCTGAGTCAAAAGCCGCTTTCTGAGCGAGAAAGATAGAAGTGGTGGGTCTACGAAAGTAGTGTTTGTTCCAAAATTTGGCGGTATGAGAATGTGATCGGTACAACCTTGAACAGCTCAGTTCTGGGATAGTTGGTCGACGTTGCTATAATATTCGGAATAGAAATCGTAATCGAGTAGCGCGAACTCGGATTGCGACTGAAAACCCACTGAATAGCGCAAAGCCAGATAAAACCAAGACGAGCTGTGGACACAAGTAATTCTGTTAGGAAAACCATGCAAATGAATATCACAGGCATCCAACAATCAATTGTCGATTTTTCAATATCCAGTCGATAACGATAGTGTTCATTTGGTTACCTTCTTGCATTAAGCCAACCCGATTGGGGCAACTTGAGACCACAGGATTGGTCAAGAAATCTGTTTCCTGATTGGTTACCTCGTAGCTGTATTGTGGTGGATTGTTTTCTCGACCTGCTTGGGTTTCATCAGCGGTACGAACACACCGATCCAACTGGGGACTGAACCCTGGACCTCAAACAAGCATACTACCCGCTTGTTTACCAGGCAACAGATCAGGACGGTTTTCATTTCCCATTCACACGAAATAGCACAGCCCATCTTTACAAGCTTAATGCCGGTTATCGTACCTTGCGCATCTCAGCACTAGCCTCCAGGGCTATGACTCGGTTGAAAACATTCTGACCCGTTTACATGTTGCGTTTCTCTTGTGCAAAACCACTCAGATTTTTTCTTTGAGCTCGTTTCCGTCCCACCTGCCCAGCTAGACTCCAGCTGTAGGGCAACGAGATAATGGCGAAGACCTTGGTTTGGTAGTTGGCCATGTTCACATATGTCTATATGCTGTCTATGAATATTTGTGAACTTTTCATGCAGTTCATTGAGTTGCCCCACACAAAATTTCCAGAAGAAAGTAAACAGAATCGCTGCACGAGTGCAGTGCATGGTCAAGATTTTATAGACTAAAATCTGAACTGGAACTCTATAGCATCGGGGTTCACAAAACTAGTTTTGGAAATTTTCTTTTCCTGCTCCGATCACTCACACCTTAGAGCAAGGGCTTTAGCTTTCGCCAACCTGCGACAGCTGTGGCGCCGCCATGACATCCGACTGCCCCTTGAGGGAAGGTTATGCATCGTCGTGGTTCGTAGCGTTCGGATTTACGGTTGTGAGATCTATCTCTCCGAGCGGAAGATGCTCATCGACTTCCTGTATTCGACCACTGATATCTCTGCAGCATTGGTTGTGTCTGGTGGGAACATCGGATGGGCAATGACCAGGTTTGTCGTTGGGTGTGGACAGCCGCTCTATAACAGAAGTAATCGCTCTACACCGCTTCCGATGGCTTGGTCACGTTTTGCGTACGCCTGCCCATCAACTACCTTTCCGTGCTCTCTTTGCACATGCCTGGCAAGGTCGGAAGAAGCGCCGCGGCGGTGGGACCATTACATGGCGCAGAGGCATGAAGAAGTTGGCTGCAGCTCTAGCTTCGGTTGGGGCCCAAGGGATGAGGATTGTTGTTGAATGGATACGCTAAGAGGTATGGCCCAGAATAAAAGTCAGCGAAGCGAATGCTGTACGGTCTGCCTGTCGAAATTCCGTGCCCCGTAAAAAACGACAAACTAACAAAAACTATCAAAAATTGTACGGTGAAACACAAAAAATTTGTTATTCCATTGTTATACTATCTTTCGGTTTAGCTGTTTCACCTTCCTTTCGCTCTGTCTTGTACCTCAATCCACCCATCCCCTGTGATTGTTGTTGTCATTGTTGTTGTGGCGTTAGCACAATGCTTTTCCGCAAGCCAGTGTTATATAAATATATCACTTACATTAATTTCTTTCATTGTTTTCACTTAATTCTTCTGATTCTCAGGAAATAATTCCGTTGTTGCACAGAGGACAATTAAATCATATTGTTTCGTAAGACACATGGAAAATTGACATAGTAGTGATGATATTCCGCCTCATGCTTTGCTGTTTTTTTCTCAGCAGAAATAACACTAAATATATCTTCAAGATGCGGAAAGGTTAGTGAAGATAAATAGATCATTTCGCGTGGGAAGTGAGAGACAACCGTAGTTGATCAACTTGCGTTCTCTCTGTCTCTTTCGGAGGATTCTATCAGATAATCATTGACATCTCTTTTCAGGGACGAAAGTGAAAGTTGTCATTCCTGAGAGCTTCAGAAACAGTTCGATCTATAACAAATTGTGCTGACACTGTCCTATTGTGGAATACTCGGTTTTGTACATCATCGGTGCGGAATAAGTAGATCGCAAATCCGGATCTGAAAAAGAAATCAGTGAGCAGATTTCTTTAACATTCTGAATTGATACATATATATAACTTTAGTATGCATGCATACCGAGACACCATAATTGAAACAACCATGCACCAGGTGTGAACACATAAGCAGACAAACAGCATGCGCAAACGCTACATGAAATTAGGATGCGGCCAAGCAGTTAATCAATCAATCGGAGTGGCCAGTTCATTACTAAAATTTCATTGACTGGAGTGAATTGATGTAATGATGGAGTAAGCCCATATGACGTGTGTGTGTAGCCAATCGGTCAGGTCATAGACATGCATCATAAACTTAAAAGTCAACTGTACACACAAAACGTCTGCTGGAATGGTGATTCACTTACCGGGCAAAGTAAATGGCGTCTCGACCGGGCATAACTTATCTTCTCGACTCAGGAGACTGTTGGGTTGTTCATAGTCTGCCTGGTAAATCGTTTTCAAACCGCTGGGAATAAAGAGATATTGACAACAGTGCAACACTGCGTGAGAGGAAAATGAAGCGGCAACACGATAGTATGATTCTGTCAACAAGTATTTGACATATTCATCGGCAGTAATGAGATTGGAAATTTCCTTTGTTTGTGAATGGTTTGCTTATGACTCTGACTCGATATGTGGATCGTAAACAAATTTGGAGAACAGTTAATGTACAATATGCATTTTTCGACGCCATCCGTTGGCTTTCAGATTCCAAAACTTAAAACCGGGGAGTACTGGTCTGTGCAAATCATTCTGTCTGCCTGGGAGAGCATAGATGGATTGCAAAGGTATTAATCTTCTAAAGTCAACATGTGACATATGCCATTGAAAGCGTTGAAGAGGAGGAATTCTTAATAATAATTAAAATAGCTTTCCAGCATTATTGTTATCGAAGCTTTTGGTGGTGTGCGCGATGAGCCATGCGTCCGATAATGAATCGTTTTCTTCCCTGTG